CCTTAACGCAGGGGCCAAATGTGCTTGTGAGCAATTGTTGATGAGCGCATGATCCTACCTAGTATTAGAAGTAGAACAATTGTGCTGGCTTGGTCCTTGTCTGGGTCCCTGCAAGATCTGGCACGTGGCTGGCTGTCCTTCCAGCACTCTCTCCAGAGATCATTGTAGATATCCAGTGTTTATGAAAGAGTGGTCTTGGGTGATGAGTAATAATAAATATAATTTGCTATTCTTACTTTTCGTCAGTGTCTGGGCATCTCAGGTTAGTGATAGGATGGAAGGTCTGGGTGGAAACTATTTGTCATGTCATGTGACTGTGCAGTTTTCCTTCTACCCTGATGCCATTTCCTCTCTACTTTTATGATAACAGGAAATGTGGCCATTTTAAATCTGGTTTAGAGTAAGATGATCTGAAACAATATAAAAATTCCCAAACCTATTAAAGCAGGTGAAGAGTTAGCTCTTGACGCTGACGTCTCAAACATGCAGTGGAATAGGCACAAGAGTCATTGCTTTGGTTTTTAGTAGACTTACCTTTATGTGACACACACAAAATAGGTAAATAAACAAATATAAAACCCGCAGCATGGACCTACCCATCTTTAGTTAAAGCTGTGTCATTTTGTGTCTGTGTGGACCTGGGCAAGTCACTTCATCTGTGTGTGTAGGTCTGACAGACAGGAGTGGCAACCATGATGTGGGGGGGGGGGGAGCGTGGGTTTGAGGTCCAAGGCAGCAGGAGGAGACCGCTTACCTGGGAGCCTGGATCACCCAGTACCCCCTCTCACATGGGGCTGGGCTCCAGTACTGTGACTGGGCTCCATCATGTCAATAAGTTGTCAGCGCTGCCTCCACGGAGGGAGAGGAATCCGCTCTTCCGTTAAGAAGGCACCATGGTTGTGCAAGGGGCAGGCTTCCTGAGGTGTCTGTATCAAACATGGCTGGACTCCCTCCCGAACACAGAAGGGAACATCTCCAGTGCTCACATGTCCTCAGCTGGGACTTGAGCAGGGAAGTCACTCATCAGTGTGAGGAAAATGCGGGGACGGCGCATTGGCCCCACAGACACAGGCCAGCAGCAGGCACACACCACTCTCTCTTCCCTCCCGGAAGTCTTGCCCTTCTGGATGCTGTAAGGACCAAGGCTCTCGCCACTAATTTTAACACGATTGCCTCTTCTGGGAGGAAAAACTGGATTTGGGCATCCTGGGCTCGTTCCACTAGACTGCCCACAGAAGAGGAATAGTCACGCAGAAATCCAGGTCAGCTTCCAGCTCCCAGACTGTTGGCCGATGTCCTGAAGCAGTTAAGAGTACAAAGCAGGAAGCAGAAACAGGGACTCACAGAGTCCTGCTTGAAGCAGTCCTCTGACTCGAAGGCCAGTCTGTGGGAAGAATGTCCACAGGGCCTGTAAGAGAGGGACCTTCACCCTAGGTCCAGAATTAGGTCACACCTGGCTTAGACATCCACTTGGGCCCCAGTTCTTTCAGAGTAATATTTTTGTGCAAGGCTTATAATCATCTTGTCATTGTGTGAGTGGCCCAGCCACATGATGCAGTGCTCACGGAGGCCAGAAGAGGGCATTGGATACCCTGGACCTAGGGTTGTAGACAGTTGTGAGCCACCATGTGTATGAAGGAGCCCACCCCGGGGCCTCTGCAAGGGCAGCAATTGCTCTTAACCACTGAGATGAATTCCTAGCCCCAGTCATCCTGTCTTTAAAAAATGGCCTTACTATACACACACGTATGCAGTCACAGACACACATATGTAAGTAGTATGTGATATGTGTATCTATGTATATATGTATGCATTCTTTTCCTGTCTGACTCACAGTAAGCCCTAAGCACACACACACACACACACACACACACACACACACACACACACACACACACTGTGATTCCAAAGTCTCATGTCACACTTAGGGATTGAAATATAATTTACTTGGGCAGAATAGAAAGAAAATCAAACTAAAACAAACACATTTGATGTTTTGAAGAGTGTGTATGTGTGTGTGTGTGCATGTGTGTGTTTAAAAGAAAAAACACAGTTTAGAATTTCCCATCAAGCCTCCTTAGATCAAATGGATGTGGGGACCACAGCCAGTTCTTCCAACCTAGCACGCTCCATCCTGCTATGCCCACTTGTCTGGGAGGAGAGAGCAGAGGGTTCCAGTCCAAGAGGGAAACTCTCATCACGCTGTACGCTGATAGCATGTGAAGCTGTAATCTTGAAAACCCTGCATCTCCAAGGGTCCTTTGAAGATGCATTTCTTCACCTCAGAGCTGGTGCCTCTATGTTGGGTACCTGGCACACACAGCGCGTGTAAACCGAGGGGCTGCAGTTGTCATGGGGGGTGGGGGACAGCTGTGAGGACAGTGTT